TTGGAGCAATGGACTCAAGCTGCAGCAGAAGTAATTTAGGTTAGAGAATTGAAGGAACTTTCTAACCATGAGGGTGGTTGAGCATTATATCAGGCTGCCTACAGAAGTTTTGGAATCTCCATCCCTGGTAATTTTCAAGAGCAGACTGGACAGACACTTGGCTGGGATAGTTTAGTTGAGATAATCCTGCCTTAAGCTTGGGGCTGAACTAGATCACCTCATGAAGTCCCTTCCAGCTGTACTTTCCTATGATTCTACATATAAAATCCAAAACCTTCCTCAGCAGCATGGGAGTATTTTATCTGACACTAGAAAAGGGAGTGTAAAGTTTGCTGGGGCAGGAACTCTCATTTTGTTCTGTGTTTCTGTGGCTACTGCAAATGTAAACAATAGGATTAGGACACTAGCAGTTTGGCTGTGTTGGTTCAGTATATCTGAGCAGTTCCTGTGCACTGTAACCAAGTGGAAAAGGCCTCTTCATAGCAGGTCTCCTTATAACTTGGTGTATACTTTTTAAGGACTTTTAAATGCCATTGGACATGGTTGCTGCATCAGTCTGAGTGGGCAGCTGATCTGCAGGAAAAGTAGCATACTGTATGCCACTGGTCACCAACCAGTGGATCTCATAGTTTCATAGTTGGTAGGGTCAGAAGGGACCTGAGCAGATCATCTAGTCCACCCCCCTGCCATGGGCAGCAAAGGATGCTGGGGTCAAATGACCCCAGCTAGGTGGCTGTCTAGCCTCCTTTTGAAGACCCCCAGGGTAGAGGCAAGCACCACTTCCCTTGGAAGTTGGTTCCAGCTCCTAGCTGCCCTGACAGTGAAGTACTGCCTCCTGATGTCTAGCCTGAATCTACTCTCAGTTAACTTATGGCCGTTATTTCTTGTTACCCCGGTAGTGCTCAGGGGAACAGGGAATCTCCCATTGCCTGCTGGTCCCCCTTGGCAAGTTTATAGGCAGCCACCAGATCCCCTCTCCACCTTCTTTTGTGGAGGCTGAACAGGTTCAGGTCCCGTAGCCTCTCCTCATAGAGGCTACCCTGCTGACCCCTGATCATGCAGGTGGCCCTCCTCTGGACCCTCTCCATGCTGTCCACATCCCTCCTGAAGTGCAGCCTCCAGAACTGGACGCAGTACTCCAACTCTGGCCTGACCAGTGTCGCATAGAGGGAGAGGATCACCTCCTTGGACCTGCTCGAGATGCATCTGTGGATGCGTGACAAGGTGCGGTAAGCCTTCCTGACCGCATCCCCACAGTGACGGCCCATGTTCATCTTGAAATCTCGATCCACTGATAGATCTCAGAACCTCTTTCAGTAGATCTCGGAGCCTCTTGGAGTCAATCTGAGGCTGGGGTGAGGGGCTGAGTGCCTGCATGCATGCATGTGCATGCCCCAGCCCAGCAGGTCAGTCTGTGGGGGAGGGAAGGGGTGGGGGCTAGATTGAGGCCCCCGCGATGAGGGACGGTGCTTCAAAGGCAGGAACAGGGGTAAGATGAATGAGGCCCTGGCCAGGTGCGACTTACCTGCTGGGGAGGCATGACCCCAAATAATTTTTTCTCCCTCTGCCTCGATGATCTACCTCCTCCTTCCCTCCCCACAGATTTACCAGCTGGGTCGGGGGGAAAGGGGCGAGTGGTGGGGGTGGCGGTGGCACACAGTAGATCTTGGATTGCTTTAAATGCCAAAGATGATCTCCTACTTAAAAAGTTTGGAGACCACTGCTGTATACGGTGTTAGTTATCAAATGTAGACCCTTTGCACTATTATTTGCCTTGTATGACAGTAATATGTATGTGGCAACTCTAATGCATTTATTAGTAAATCTTCTCTACTGTAGACTCATGGGCACCTGATGAAAATAAGGTTTATTCAGAAGTGTAACTTGCACTGACCAGAGCAGCAGCCCCATGTGCAGCCTTTTGAGGGGAGGTGCAAAAATAACCACCACTGGCATACCTGGCAGCATAGCAACCGGTATTCATAGAAGCATAGAAGTAGGGTCAGAAGGGACCTTGTAGATCTTCAAGTCCGACCCCCCGCCTGGAGAAAAACTGGACTCAAATGAGTCCAGCCAGGTAGGCATCAAGCCTCTTCTTAAAGACCCTCAGGGTAGGAGCCAGCACCACTTCCCTTGGAAGTTGGTTCCAGCTCCTAGCCACCCTGTGAAGTAGTTCTTGCAGATGTCTAATCTAAACCTACTCTCCAATAACTTGTGTCCATTATTCCTTGTTATGCCAGGGGGCACTAGGGGAAACAGTGTCTCCCCCAAACCCTTCTGATCCTCCCTATAGCCACTGCCCAGGGCACAAAGCTACCCTGTTATGCCTCTGGTTTTATTTGTATGGTAAAAAAGATGGCAGCAAGATGAGCACATGGCTCCCAACACGTATGAGATGCAAGATATGTACCAGGCATAAACATTATAATATTATGGGCAAGATTCTGCTCTCTTGCATGCATGTGAATTGCCCTTTACCCCACCAGAGGACCTGGTCATAGGAACACAAAAGCAACAGCCTGGGGCTGAATACTAAGAACAACAGGGGATTTTGTACATTTCCCTGGAGGAACTCATCACTCCACCAGATTAGGCTCTCAATGAAGAGCACATATACGGACTTGATGTATAACTTAAGGTAAAGTGAAATCATTTCAAGCTTAATTTTTTTCTTTCATGCTGGAGTTACTTTCCTTCCAAGCAAGTTTCAGTTGCATTGTAATTTAAATCAGAACTTATTTACAAAGATCATTAATTTATAAACATCATTCACATTTTTACTTGAATGTCAAAGCAGTGTTCAGAAGAAGGGGGAAAAAATAAAAACAAATTCACAACCTAGAAATGACTAGCGGTAGGTAGAAAAAAACGTTATGAACCCAAACACATAACAGTTTAGCAAGGATAGTATAAAGTAGATTACTGTGCATTTTATCAAACCAAGGACCTGAATGCAATTTCTGAAAATACAGCAAAGTGACACACAAAACATGACATCAGTGACACAGGACAGATTTCCTATTAAATCATTTCTAGAAGTGATCCCTTTTTATGAATGACCACCAGCTACTGAGCAGTTATTGGAATTCACTCTGGCTAATGTGTCACATACTTGTCCTCATGGGTGTTGTGAAATTTAGCAGCATCAGAAAACTGCAGAAGCATTTCCCCTGGCATTATTTATTTTTAATGCTTACCACAGATTGTCATCCATTTCACTTGGCACAAAGTCATTATTACATAAAAGTAATCAAGGATCATTTGTTTTAATCTGATTCCTAAAACCCGGAAGAGTTCATTTAGTGAAAAATACAAAATATAAAGGGCCTAATTCTAAGTATAATGAAGTCACCTAGGAAGGTTCCCATGTGACTTCAGTAGACTTTGGATTGAACTCAAAGAGCCAAATTTTACCTAAACTAATACTTTGCATTTACATCGAGTTCACTGAGTTTTGCACAGGTTTGGCCAGGAGCAGAATATGTCCCAGTTTGTATAACTTTGATTTCTAGTCTTACCTATTCGTTGTCTTAACTATGAGCTCTGAATTGTTTCACAAATATTGAGGTCTTCCTTCAGACTCCATAATTTCAACCTGTTCTTCAGTACTGTTTTCTCTGGCCACATCCAAAGAGGTTTAGGTGCAGTTGCCAAACTATCACAGCAAATTCTGACCACAGATATCAGGTCTATGAGCTACAAGTAGTATAAGCTCGTTCAGCTCAATTTTAGCAGGTTAACCAACAAGCCTAAGTAACACAAGCAAAAATGCTGCAGTTTTGGCCATGGCCACTGAATCTTGTGGAGACTAATGGCCCCTTTGGACGAGTGTATGAAGCCTATAGATCATCAAGGCCTGAACTTAAGATGGTTTAAGCACCTGCAGCTCTCCTTGACATCATCATGGAAGTCAGCGCAATGAGCAGAACTAGTGCTCAATGCCTCTTAAGGCCAGACTTCTAAAACCAGCTACTATGTTGATTAGTATACTGCACCATACAACCTGTCCAGCCAAAAAGAAACATCACACTCAAAGATGGTGTCATCTGATTCATGGTGGAGGGAAGAGATAAATGGAAATTCAGTGCATTTAACAGAAAGATATATAGACCCTGGTATACCATATTCAACAATTATATGCAATACAGTCACTTGCTTTTATACTTTACATAGCCACTAACACAGAAGATAGTCTACAGCAGGGGTGGCCAACCTGCCACACAAGTGCTACAAGTGGCACAAGCAGTCTGTGTGTGTGGTATGAAGCAGATTGGGGAGGGAGCAGGCAGCAGAAAAGCAGATGAGGCAATAAGCTGAAAGCAGAGCAGCAGATCAGGCAGAAAGCACAGGGTAAGTAAGAGGCAGAAAGCAGAACAGCAGATAGGGCAGGGAGCAAAAAGTAGAAAAGCACATTGGACAGAGGGAAAGAATTGGTGTGGCACTCAGGGAGGGTGAGGGGTTAATTTCCAGTACCCATGCCAAAAAGGTCAGCCCCCTCTGGTCTAAGGCAATGAAGGTATATCTACTTGACACAAGGTAGTGCTATGCACGGATACCCAACTTGAGCTCATTCAGATCCAACTCAGGTACCAGAAGCAATATAGCTACATCATTAGCTAATGCAACTATACTGCTTCTCGTACACAGGTGCCTCTGCACAGCACTGCATTGTGCCAAGTGAACAGAGCCTGAGATACAGAACTCAACCTATCACCCTCAACAATGTTTTTCCTTGATACTTTAAAGTCACAGCTTGAGCTCTATGTGCTATATACCTCAAATATCCACTTCAGTCAGTTAGCAAGATAAAGATTCAAATCAATCTGGAACCCAACTTCAGCATTGGTCAGGTCTTGAGGATTTTTTTGGGCTTATCTCTGTCTAAATCGGGCTGTACACAGTTTTTTCACTTTATAAATTACACATCTTTATTTCTGATTTCCACTGTTTCTAACTGTTCATATTCCCTTATGTACAGCACTGTTTACATAAACATATTCTTGACTCCTAGGCCCCATTTTATCCATATCTGTTGTCAGCATCATTCTGGAAGGCAAACTTGACTTCCAGTTTTAGGATTTTCTACCTCCAAGAGCTGCTGCCACAATTAAACCAACCACCACCAAGAACATGCCAACAGAAAGCAGCACGGTGATCACAATCATTCCTCCTGCTCTCCCTTCAAATGAACCATCATAGGCTGAGAAGCTTGTCACTAGAATGTAAAGAAAAACGATTTAGGATTGAAAGTTTTGGCGTAAATGTTCAAAACTGCATTTCTCTTCTGCACCATAGCATGAGGCCAGAAGAAGTAATGTAACTCATGGTGGGCAAGCGGGGCACCAGTCCTGAGCACCAATTTATAGGGGTACCAGAATGGCAACTCCCAACGTTCAGGGAGCCCTTGGGATCATCTGGGGTTTTTGAGTTTCCAGAGTCAGGTAAAACTCACTTGGCTCCATCCATCTCCTGCCCCCTGTTCTCTCCTCCCCCCACACTCTCTTTGGGTGCTTGGCCAATTCCAATGATCACTATAGGCAGGCCTGAGGAGACCAGAAGCCTGATTCACTCATGGCTTCCATCTCCTTTACCACTGCTGTGCAAATGACATGTAAAATAACTTCAAAGTAGATGTAAAACACTACCATTTGGACTTAACACACCTGCATATGATTATGTGAGCTAAATTGCAATAGTGAATCCAGACTTCAGTTTTTATGAGGTGAGACTAGTCAGAGAGTCAGAGAAACTAGTCAGAAAAGCTACAGTGATACAGTCCCATGGTTGCTCTGGGAACATTATCTGGGTGTCTGAGTGATTCTGAAAGACCAGCAGCTTAAGGCAAATGATGGAAATTACCTTTTTACCATGTTAGGGACTTACCATTATTTGTCTGGATGGGATCAGACCAATCTGTGTGAGCTCTTACTACAGCATTTTCATCCAAAACAAAAAAATTCACCCTTAAAAGTTAAAAGAAAAGATATATTAGTGCAGTGGAGGCCAACCTTTTTGGGAGTCATGCCCCAAATTAGCCTCACACCCTTCCTGAATGCCACTCTGATCTCCTTCCCCTGAATAATTTGCTGCTCTGCTTTCTGCCCTATCTGTCACTGTGCTGCTTGTTCCCTCACTGATCTCTGTGCCACACACAGAGACTGCATGGGCCACTTGTGGCACATGTGCTGTAGGCTGGCCACCCAATGTTAAACAGTTGCTTTGGCATGGTCATATAAATGTCTGCCATTATTTGCATTGGAGTGATGCACCTACCTATCTAGGGTTAGGGTAGGCTGGTGGAGGCGCCAGCACTACCAGATTTGTGCCCACTGCGAATTCCCGCCCCATCATCTACCGGTGGAATTCTCAGCCAGCTCTGGTTGGGAACCAGGTTTCCCATCCTATAAACATTTCTGAGATTCTGAAAAATGCTCCCATCCCAGAGTGAGCCAGAAGTAAAAATCTGGGTCCATTTGAGTCATTTGAACCATTTTCTATTGATTTGACCATTTTCATTTTTAAAAAAAGCATGTTACATGTACTTTACATGTTAAATTAAGGTTTTTTTTTACAGAAGCTGAGGGTAGTAGAGAATGTTTTCTTCCTGAAAGGTTCACTTAAAAAATTGTTTGGTCCCCCGAGTTTCTCACCATGATTTATTAAACCGTAAGGATCATCAAGTGAAAATCAGGCATTTGTATTTTGGGAAAAGCTCCTCTCCTGCACTACAGCTGAAATGAATGAACTCTAAGGAAAAGGAAATAACTTTTAAGGAGAGAAACACATAGCTCAAAATGTTTTGGTTTTTCTTTTTTCTTTTGTTTGATTTTTTTAAAATCAATGGTTTCTCACACTTGCTAAAAAAACAAAGACTTCTCATGCTCTTGTATCACATTCTCCAGTAGATAACACAATGGAACAGCACTGACTTTTCAAAGTCTATTACCATTTTAATGATATTTTACTTCACTTGGCCTGTATGGTACCTGTAGAATGAGGATGGCTTCAGGACTCGATTGCAGAAGGGTCCCTTAGTGTTTTCACAGACTTCTGCTCCCACCTGGTAGCCTACAATTGTGGTCAGCTTATAGTTCTCATCATCTATGTCCATTTTCACAAGAGCCCTGGCCATCCTGCATGAGACGCTTGCAAATTCTCCCGCATAGTAAATGGGGGCATCAGTGAAGTTGCGGAGGGATCTGATCTGGTTGGTGTCTGTCACAGCTGAGGAAAGAACAGCATGGTGCTTGTACATCAATCACATGCCCAATCAGTGTGGCAAGAGCTGAACCCATTAGCAATTTAGAAATGTCTTGGGGCTGATTTGTGAGTTGACAGAGGTAGGGAGAGAAGAAAGGACACTTATGCTGCTCTTTGTTTCCCTGTGTAGGTCTTGTGATCATGATACATAAGGGAAGCAGCTTCTCTGGGGAGGGGTGCTACTCTGCTTCTGAACAGGTAAACTCATAGTTAAAATCCAGCTAAGATTGCAAATAATATGACTGGAAGTTATTGCTATTCAAGGCAGTGTAGAAGCACCTCAACAGGTAAGTCAGTTCCTGGTCAATAGATGGCCATTTAAAATAAAAGCTGTACAACATAACTGACCCCCTCTTTGATAGTCCCATCAAAGGGCAGAGCATAGATCATAGAGATGGCCCCTTGAATGACAAGTCTCTTCTGCGTCTAGAGTGACCCTCAAGCCCCACCCACACATGCCCTCCTTGTGTGCACCCAGGTTTACACATTAGACAGGGTAGACATCTCAGAGGGGTTCTCAAGTTTTTCCAAGGGGGAGAGCCTGGACATTGTGCTGGGACACACACTTGGGACCTTAGTAAACTGTGCACACTGCTTAAGTTGCAGGTTTGGCCATGGGTGCAAGTGGGTGGGGATTATTTCTCAATGGTGCACCTGCACTCTTTCTGGAAGCAATAAAGACATACTCTAAACCCCTCTGAGTCATGTGGGTGAGGCATGATGAATAAGCCCATACTTCTGTTGCCTATACACTGTCTGATCGTCCATGGATGCTGATGGAACTGCCACGTTTGTGACCAATAAAATATCACTGAGTTAAAAAAATAACAAATTCATCATACAAAATAAGAACATGTCCTACCTGGCAGGCCAACTGTCTCACCAAGAACAGCTATTGCTGGTCTGATGGTAGTGGGTGTATAGTGAGAGGAGGAGATACACTTAGGGATATTAACAATGAAGGAAGTACTCAATCTTGCTGCTAAAATATTGCTCATGTTAGGAAAGAAGTTCAGTGCTGGAAACAAAAGGAAAAAAATGTCAGACCAATTCTTCTCTCAGTAAAGATGTAATGTCCAGGAAATCTAGGAAATTATGTAACAGATTTATCAGAGTTGGTTGGGAACTGATCCCTTCCATCCTCAAAAAAATACCTTAATGAGCAGGAAAATACTTCCATGTTCATTTGATTTTTGCAATTTTGTTTTATTAAAATATGTATATATTTTTAGGAAAAATAAAAATATTTTGCTGGAATTTTATGTAATTGAAAGGCTCTTTTTGCATTATACAAAAGCTTTGATTCAAAATTGTAAAACAATATTAGCTATCTTGGACTCTTTTCTTAATGCTGTAGGCATTCAAGGAACTTTTTCAGGTAAATACTCACCCATCTTAATTCACTAAAGATGATTCAGGGACACAGTGGGTGCACCTGTGTGTTTTAGTTAGGATACTGCTGACTTACAACTAATTTATGGTGTCCAGTTCTAGGTAGATGTAGTATGAAGCACAGCAGAGGCCCTTTTGGGATGGGGAAAATACTTTTATATATATCAACCCCTTTGGTAAGATAGGTATTGCTTAAAACATATCAGATACATCAGTTAAGATTAGAGAAGTGGTTCTCAACCTTTTTAGACTCAAAGCACCCCTTGAGTCTCATTGTTGAGTACAGAAAAATAATAGAGCAATTCTTATGTTGTAAAGAACTCAGGAAGATCAGAACAGGTCAGAAGGTGTTTGACACACTGGATTCCTATTTGAAATATCTGGGTTTATTTTGTGAATCATGTTTGTACACCTAACTGTGTTAACTTTGCACGGCACCTCATGGCACCCTTGAAAGGATTTCAAGGCACCTCAGGGTACCATGGCACCCTGGTTGAGAATCACTACTATATAGATTATGTACCAAGGTTAAAAATGGTAGTAATGCCTATCAACTCAAAGACTTAGGAAACTATCAAGTGGGAAAAAGACTAGTGCCATCCCACCCCATGGCCAACCCCCCTGAAGTTGAAAGGAGTCAAACAGTATACATCAACTGTAATACATTGCTTATCCACATAGGAAAGTAGAAACAGAGATCATAGGACTGGAAGGAACCTCCTGTGTAATCAAAAATGATGCAGCAGAGTGAAGAATAGTTGGTATCAATCACTAATGTCTTATCCCTTTAAGTCTGATCTCAGATGAAGGTATTGGGTTCTCCTGTGCTTGGAGCCAGAACAGGTATGACATTTCTGTAGGACTGGGTGTTTCACGAGCCTACTCATTGTGCATTGTAGTTGGCCTCTCGCCATTTATTCTAATGCCAGTTCTTTCTCATTTTGCTTTCTGATGTAGTGATTTAAGTCATGTTCTTCTTGTTATAAATGAAGACCTTATCTATCAGTCCTTAGGCAAAACTCTCACTGAAATCAGTAGAGATTTTTCTTGAATGCCAGCTTCAGGGTTGGAAGTAGAAAGATTAAGTTAGCTCTGAATCACAGGTTTGCATATTCAAAATAACTGCCTTCAAAGGACAGGCTTTGGATTTACACAGGCATATCACAGCACCAATTCTGGTCCAAAGTGAATAATGCCATTCATGACTTCAGTACACTATATTTAAACACCTTTTTTGATCCCAAAAGAATCTTCAAAGTTTTAAAGAATTCATATATCACTAATTAAAGACATCATGCAGCTGTTGTTACAATCAATGGAAAGACTCATTGCTGGTATTTGACCTGGGCCCTAAAGAACCATATTATTATATGCAATAATGAGATAAAGGGTGGACTTGATTTTCAGAGATGCCGAATATCCACAATTTCCACTGGTTACTGAAAGTCAGGTTCTATATTAAGTCTAGACCAAGAGTGTATGACAGAAAGGGGCAATAGGTTTGTCTTGCCTATGCAACATTGATATTCTATAAAGATCTCTATCTGCCATACTCATATAATCATGACTGAAATGCCTTATGTGGATAAAGAAAATGAACCTATATCCCTGCTTATACATCATGAATCCCGCTTCTTACTATAATACCATTAAATGCCACCCGGAAGTTTCCTTCCTCAGTTCTAATTACACTAGAAGCATTCTGATTAGTATGATACCTAGTCTGGAATTACAGGATTGCTCCCATGAAAAGAATGTATTGCATTGTCTTGAACACATTGTCTTACAAACTACCACAGGAGAAAGATAATATATTCTGGTACTTCCTTAATAACCATTTTCTCTTTTGACTTGACACTATATAATTACTTTTGGGCCTTCTTTTGGAGCTTTAGTCTTTTGTTCATTGTTTGGCACACATTTATATATTGGATTTAAAGGAAGTAATTCAGTTAAACCTGTTTAAGTCGGGAGTAATCCAACTAATTTATCAGTTACTTAATCAATTTATTATTACTTTTCTTACTGTTTTAAATAGTCCCACATGTGTGCATGGCTCTGTTCCTTCATAAAAAGCTATAATTTCTTGGCCAGCTAATTTCAAAGCTGAAGCCAAGGGAGACATTTGAGACCTAGGCATATACAAGTGAGAGTGAAATTTGGCTCCAGATGTTTCAAAATTCTATGCTGAATAGGTTGACGTTTTACAATGAAATATTTTAATGGGAAAATTATATCTTATAATAAGGATATGTACTTGTCTGCGTACCTCTGCACATACAAATGGCACACACAAATAATAATAGCTACATCCAAGTTAAAACTATATACTGCAGTTTTGTTATCCAGTTCCCCTATACTTTAGCTGCACTGTTACAACATTAATTAGCAGAGGATTAGTAAACACCAATGCATTAATTAAAAGCATAAAGTACACTGTAGCTTGCTATTGCTGAAATAGAAGAGCAGTACTCACAGATTTTGTCTAAACTGGATAACTGAACCGCCCATCCTGTTCTGAGGCAGCTAACAAAGCACAGCAGCAGAACTAGCTTCATTGCTGAAATGTGGTGGAGTTAGTCAGGTTTGCTGGACAAATGTGAGGTGAGTTTTTTGGGCTCCAGAATTTCTGCCTTGGAAAAGAGGGAGGGATTTGCATTCATTAGACAGGTACAAGGAGGGAGGTGGGGAGGGTGAGTGAACAGCACTGCAGTGAAATCAGGTTTCTTCCAGCAATCTGAAGTAAAACA